GAATCTACGGGACTGGTCTCGGGGTCTGTGGTCCTTCGAGCCGGATCAGCGCGTGCTGGACCCATCCCCCCCTTCACTTATCACCAGTCTCGTTGGTGCATTTCATACTTCAAACACATGAGATGTGGGACCGAATATGACTGAGACTTGTACATCTATGCTTACTCTCCATGTCTTGTAATTTTAAACACTTATATTAAAACAGGGTGGCCACTGTTTAAACAGCCAAGCTCTGGGAAATGGTCCAATGGGAAAAGGGGAAAAGACAAATGGACTTTTCAAAAACGCGTTGTCGACCACATATCCGCAATTTTGTATTTTTTTTTAACTTTGTATTTTTTGAATTTTTCCAAATCTTGATGAGGTAGAAGAAAACATGTGTTATTAAATATTAACTTGATCTACAATTTTGAGTAGTTTTATGAAGTAAAGACCATGCAAAACTAGGTAAATAAGGCAATTGGTCCGTCAGGGTGCACATTATTTGGCCTGGCTTGGCATTTAAAGATTTTGATTATTAAACTATTTTTATCATTCGATCTGATTAAACTTTATGTCGTTTGAACGCAATGAGCAATAACAGCTGTGTCCAGTTTCGAGCTACTGACATTTCTAAGTAACGAACCGGCGACCTTTTTGACTACCAGGTGAGCACGGTAGCTATTAAGCTACCTACAACCATAGACAAAAAGAATATAGACCGTCAGCTGTGCTGCGAATACCATAGGTTATTGCGCACACTGTTGGGAGCGCCATGTAGTTATTGCTTTATCGCTACGTAACTACACGACGCTCCCAGCGGTGTGCGCCAGAACCTATGGTACCGCAGAACAGCTGATGGTCTATATTTAAATCTTTTTGGCTACAACATATGCTTTACATTCTATATTTGATTAGTCCTCTCACAACATATCACAACTTAATGGACAAATAACGATGCTCCTAAAGCAGGTTTAGATAGTAAAACCAGAGCTAGAACTCTTGGAAAAATACTTAAAAATACATCTAGGGCCGATGGACTTGTAAAATAATCTAATTCTGAGAAACTGTCAAATTCCTCTTTGTCTCCTTGAGTTGTAAAGGTTGGTTGTGAAGATGGCGCTTTAGTGGTCTGGGTAATCCGAGATAACTTATCTTAAACCCGTCTGAGAGATTAGAACATGATGATCTTTGAGTTTATCAAGTTATAAACAATCAGAGGCGAACAGCTGCTTATAAGCCCGTCATTACATTAGCTGGCTAAATTTTAATTGTTCCCATATTGTTCCTAGTACAATTTCGATGGGTATTCCTTTATTTGAGACGTATTGGAAAAGTTACACAATCTTTGATCAATGAGAGGGAGAAACTTTTAGGTCATCTCTTATGCTTGAACTTGAGCAAAGTAAAATGTAACTAAAACAAAATATAAGTTAAAAACGCTGTTCCTACACCAGTGGAACAGTTTTCAACTCAACAGGGCGGGGATACCATAATCTCTATCGTTAAAATTAAACGTTACCATATACTTTATTTTTAGAAATTAAATTTTAACCCAACACAAAGAAAACTACTTCGCTTGACTAAGTCCCAAAATCGGACGGATAAGCACTTAACTAACAATGCAAGCACAGTTCAAAAATGAGTGAAAGGTGTTCGTAACGTAAAAGATACGCATACGCATAGTTAAAACAATAACCTACGGCCACAGGTAAAACATACTCCCACAGTTCTGTCCGGTGCGTAGAAGTCGTATTTTGTTTACAATTCTTGTTATTTCAGTTATTTAAAACCAAATAAAACTGTCTAATCATAAAACAATAACTCGTGTCCTAGTTATATAACCAAACAGTAAAGCACAAATCATTAAATTAGCCGTACAATAATATAAACAAAATTTAGTCGATACTAAAGATCAGTGTCACCGTACATAAACTAGACATGAAAAACGAGCTTCGAAATTTACAATGGGATGGGAAGTCTACTGGTGTTGGTTAGTCTATGCTACAACTCAATATGGTGAAAATATTCATCTTATTAGCCCCTTTCAAATTAATATTGAATTTGTGTGGAATCGCAAAAAAATACTCAAAGACCTAATATATTTCACCACAGACACGTTAAAACCTCATTTCTGTATTAGTATCATACAGGTAGAGAACAGGAGTGGTTGAAAGTTTGTCAACGCACTCTGGTCTCTGGTTTTCGCAACATTTCACAGCACAGCTTCATGTACCACAGGCTTGCTGCGCTTTAATAGGGAAACTATAGTCTGTGGCAACTAGCAACTGTGAAACTCAGTTTCCCAACCTCACTTCTCACTTCACACCTTGCGTATCATTGCTCCAAAGTTTCGTCAACTTCAGCTGACTGAAACTATTAAAAGTATCATTTGTCTATGAAAGTACATATCAAACTGCGGACCAAATCATTTCAAATACTGCAAGGGATTTCAATTGATATTTAGGAAGAAGCTCGTTTACAATCTTACAATAAGTGTGTTCTGTTGAAGATGCCCATGCCATTTTTTGTGTGGAAGGTTAGGGTGGGCTTAGGAAATCGAACTTGAGGAAATAGTTATTTGTGTAACTAGTGGGCGAAGTGGCAGAGAAAATGCTACGCACGAGCCGTAGGCGAGCAAAGGTAGTTTCCACTCGTGTTAAAAATTATATTTTTTCCCACAGTTACTATATGAAAATCATATAATTAATAATTAGTCTTTCAAACACTGAACAGTACGTTTTTAGGTGAGGTTAAATCCAAACATTGAGCAAAATTGGGAACGGTGTACCAGCTGATCGTATTCGTAATATCTTTAAGTGTTGCCAACTTATTTTCAAGCATACATGTGCATAATAAAAGCACGCTGTTTTGTGTGGTTTGCTTGGAGTGTGCACCAAAGTAAAAACTGTGCGTCAGAGGAAAAGGCTTTCTGTATTATAATCTGTGCACTTTGTTGGGCGACTGTAGGGAAATATCTAGGTGATTGTTCACTTGTGCAACAATAGGGTTTTGGCAGTGAATGAAATATACGACGAGTATTAAAACAAAACTAGCGGTTGTATCCTGAGCTAAAGTTCAAAATTTATCTTTCCAAACTGTATAAATAACGACATTATCAGGAAATTATCTTTTCCTGCGCAAAAGTCTTGATAGCTTCAAGTAATCAGGAAAACATGGTGAAAATAATTTCTGTGTTTTATACTTAACCGTGTGCTTCAGAGGAGTTTAAAATGTATTATTAGTATTATAAACATGCAGACGATGGACTTCAAAAATTATATTTTCAAACTCTCAAAATAACGCCCTGACAAAACATCTGTTGTTCAATCGCCTTGCTCGGGAAAATCGAAAGCACTTGAAGGAAGTAATCTTTACCATGAGTATTGAAAAGCTGAACACGACTTTATGTTGTTTCTTCAAACAATTGGTCCAAGGAACTATTTACTTGTTTGTATTCACTTGAGTTAGTTGGTCCTGCTAAGAAATGGACCCCTCCACCAGACATTGATATTATTATGTAGGTATATTAACGAAACTAGCCAATGTTAGTCTATGAACCTTTCAACCAAAATAATGCATAATGCGTAATTTTGTTGAATAACTAGATTGTTGAAGTACTACGATAACAAATTCGACGTTCAGCCTCTTCAGATTCACCATAAGAAGTTTTATCCAAACAAACCCCTATTGACATGGACTGACTAGCGTATAAAATAAGAATAAAACTAAATTGAAATAAAAATGGAAAGTAAGTGTGGAAGATGAACATGCAGTTTCGCAATTTTAATCAGTATGGTCCGATTACAGGCTTTATCTATCAGATTGGATTGCAACAAGGAAATCCACAAACAAATTCATGCTGCACATAACCTTAAACGTGAATAACCGTAAAATAACTAACTTCAATTTCAACTATAAAAATTTCAAATCTAAAATCGTGTGTATGAGGTACGGATGTTTTAGAGGTCAGTTCCAGTTCGAAAATTCTGATCTAATCAGGATAGCTATAAATTATTGGATCGCAATAAGGAAAACTATTTCTTGTCAGAAGTTCCTAGCCTAGAAAGATCTGAAAGGTGAATAGCAAAGAATGGTCCAAGAATCTAACTAATTAAACTTTAAACATCTGGCGCAAAAGTTGCTTTATACGTACACACTTCCTGGGGCAAGGTTTTTATTCAATCTAAATCATATTTTGTCAAGCGATTTTAAGGATAAAGATTGAAAAATATTGAAGCTTAAATCCATTCACAATCTCACCATTCGTAACTGCGTTATCACTTCTGTAAACTTAGAGAAACAAGAACCATCTTTCCTAGTTTACGACGCTAAGCTCTTGGTTGTAAACTCGTAAAATAAAAGTTAATTAGAGTATACAAACACAATAAAAGAATTCTAAAAATATTGGTGAAGTTTTTACTTAAAATGTATAAACACAATATAATTTAAGTTTTACATTATATATTTTTTATATTTTCTTATTAAATGACGACCATACAAAGTAAGTATTTTAAGCACAGCTGTTAATTAATAGCCCATACAGCTAATGACAATTAAGGGATCTACAGTTTATAGTGGAATCGGAACCACATTTTTGCCTTGGTGTATACGAATTGGTCTAACTACCAGGATAGTACTGTGGATAGTCGTAGTACACACTAGTGCGGACGTTAATCCACACCAGGGAGTATCGCATCCACAGTGCATGCCTATATATCCACAATTCGTGACCTCCTAGTAGCTGGATTACAGGACGATGCCACCCGTCACTAGTACCCAAATATAAATAGACCTTTAAAAATTTGGTCTCTACGAGCTTTAGTTATTACAATCCTGAATTACTTTTGAACCTCAAGCTATGTATAAGCTATTGCCTGTAAAAAATGCAACAATTGACAACATGGAAACCCCATAGGAAAATCACACCATGTTAACTACAAACTATTACTACCATCCCAAATGTCCTTGCTTTAGACAAACAATCATACACAACTAAAAATTAAATTGATAAAGCTCACCTTTTTCGGTCCCTCCTGCTTGATGACCATGTCGTACTCTATGCCCTCGTCCGCCATGCTATGGTGTTTCTATGGTGTTGTATGGTGAGATGGTGTCGCTGTGGTGTCGCGCGCACGAGTGTCGAGTGCCTGCCTGCGCCTGATCTACCAGGCACTACACAGACAAAACCAGTCTGCGCCTACTGCACTACCGCCTACATGCGCTGTCTGCATTCTTGAAGAAAACAAAAAAAATGTGCGAAAACTCTACAAAACTGTTTTGAATACTGTAACCAAAGGTACTGTACCTTTGTGGTAGTCTAGGGGAGTGTTCTAGCACTGGAAGACCCTTTTAGCATGATTTAAAATTAAAACTACACAGTATATTGACAATGTTGTTTATCAATCGTTGGGTTGCTCTGAGTGTACATTTCTCTTTGTGGATTGGTCAAACGAGAATAAATAAATAAACCTCAATTTCAATAACATTGCAGAATTACTACTCAGGTATGACCAAGGCATTTGGAGAATATGAACTGCTGTAATAGAGGATTAAGATAAGTTTATAAATATCACGGACCAGGAAAATATGTATTTTTACTTTATCTTCAACAACATTGGCAACGATTATTTCATCAAAAATGTGTGTGAACGTTCAACTTGAAAATCTAAATTAAAGTTTGGTTCAAAAAAACTAAATTCCAGAATTTTGAACATTTGTAATACCCGAACCCCCTTAAAACACTGTACATCACCTTATTAGGTAATGTTAAATCCAAACATTGGACGAAATTGGAACCACTGTACCAGCTGATCGTAGTCGTAGTATCTTTAAGTGTTGCCAATCTATTTCCAAGTGTATACGGATTACGGGCATAATAAAATCACGCTGTTTTGAGTTGTTTGGTTGGAACAATGGTGTTCGAAAAATTAAAAAGTGTGCTGCAAAGTAAGTAAATGCACCAATTAACAGCTTTCTGTGCTATAATCAGTGCAAGGAAGCCCACTTTGTCGGGTGACTGTAGAATTCAAATGTCAAAGCAAAGATGAACATCATGATTTTTCTCACCCAACGATAGAGACCAATCAATATTTACTTTTGAAAAACTCATCTCAAAACATTGGATATGCAAGGGGCGTAGCCCGAGGTGAACTGAGGGGAGAGAATGAGCCTAGGACATTACATGTATTTGTGGAGTTGTGGACAATGTTTGTGGTTGTTTTTGACAAAAAATATATTTTGTTTTGGCCAGTGTTCATTTTTTGTAAACTAATTGACATTTGCCGATACTTTATAAATAATTGAGCGGAGCGAGCGTAGCGAGCGAAGCTCTTATACGTCGACTTTTATGCATTTCGTAATACGCAAACTCCTCCTAGACGGCTGAATCAATCGTTTTCAAATTTTGCATGGTGATAAAGACCATATCGGTGAGTGCCAACATCTATATGGCGTTAAAAAAGTCTCTCAGGAATCCGCCCCACTGGGTCTCAAAGTTTCAATGTAATCCTTATGGAAGCAGTATTTGACACATAAACAAAGACATATGATCAGCTGTTAACTTTTGAATACAGTAGATAAATAAATAGCTGATAGCATTATTCCACAGATATTAGAACATAAACGGTGGTATGGATCAAAAATATAATCAAATGACGACACTAGCTTGAGGTCCGTGACGTAGGAAGTGGTGAAGGAAGTAGTAAAGGTGAGCAGTCTCGAGTGTGGGAACTGTTTCTGACGATTAGATTAAGGTATCTGCATTCCTAAAATTCTATAGGAAGGGAGGAAAATGGGTCCGCGACGTAGGAATTGGTGAAGGAAGTAGTCAAGGAGAACTGTCCAGAGTGTGGGAACTGTTTATGACGATTAGATTTAGGTATCTGCATTCCTAAAATTCTATGGGAAGGGAGGAAAACGGGTCCGCGACGTAGGAAGTAGTGAAGGAAGTAGTCAAGGCGAGCTGTCCGGAGTGTGGGAACTGTATATGACAATTAGATTAAGGTATCTGCAATCCTAAAATACTATTGGAAGGGAAGGAAACAGGCCCGCGACGTAGGAAGTGGTGAAGGAAGTAGTAAAAGCGAGCTGTTCGAGGTATGGGATCTGTTTATGACCATCAGATTAAGAAATTTGCAATTATAAAATGCTATGGGAAGGGAGGAAAATAGGTCCGCGACGTAGGAAGTGGTGAAGGAAATAGTCAAGGCTAGCTGTCCGGAGTGTGGAAACGGTTGATGAATATAAGATTAAGGTATCTACAATCCTAAAATGCTATGGGACGGAAGGAATACAGGTCCGCGATGTACAAAGTGGTGAAGGAAGTAGTCAAGGCGAGCTGTCCGGAGTGTGGGAATTATTAATGACGATTAGATTAAGGTATCTGCTTCCCTAAAATTCTATGGGAAGGGAGGAAAACAGGTCCGCGACGTAGGAAGTGGTGAAGGAAATAGTCAAGGCAAGCTGTCCGGAGTGTGGAAACGGTTGATGACTATTAGATTAAGGTATCTACATTCCTAAAATTCTATAGGAAGGGAGGAAAATGGGTCCGCGACGTAGGAAGTAGTCAAGGCGAGCTGTCCAGAGTGTGGGAACTGTTTATGACGATTAGATTTAGGTATCTGCATTCCTAAAATTCTATGGGAAGGGAGGAAAACGGGTCCGCGACGTAGGAAGTAGTGAAGGAAGTAGTGAAGGCGAGCTGTCCGGAGTGTGGGAACTGTATATGACAATTAGATTAAGGTATCTGCAATACTAAAATACTATTGGAAGGGAAGGAAACAGGCCCGCGACGTAGGAAGTGGTGAAGGAAGTAGTAAAGGCGAGCTGTTCGGGGTATGGGATCTGTTTATGACGATTAGATTAAGGTATCTGCATTCCAAAAATGCTATGGGAAGGGAGGAAAATAGGTCCGCGACGTAGGAAGTTGTGAAGGAAATAGTCAAGGCGAGCTGTCCGGAGTGTGGAAACGGTTGATGACTATTAGATTAAGGTATCTACAATCCTAAACTGGAACTATTAATGACGATTAGATTAAGGTATCTGCATTCCTAAAATTCTATGGGAAGGGAGGAAAACGGGTCCGCGACGTAGGCAGTGGTGAAGGAAGTAGTCAAGGTGAGCTGTCCGGAGCGTGGAAACTGTTTATGACGATTAGATTTAGGTATCTACATTCCTAAAATTTTATGGGAAGGGAGGAAAACGGGTCCGCGACGTAGGAAATGGTGAAGGAAGTAGTCAAGGCGAGCTTTCCGGAGAGTGGGAACTGTTTATGACAATTAGATTAAGGTATCTGCAATCCTAAAATGCTATTGGAAGGGAAGGAAACAGGTCCGCGACGTAGGAAGTGGTGAAGGAAGTAGTAAAGGCAAGCTGTTCGGGGTATGGGATCTGTTTAATGACCATTAGAATAAGATATTTGCAATCCTAAAATGCTATGGGAAGGGAGGAAAACTGGTCCGCGACGTAGGAAGTGGTGAAGGAAATAGTCAAGGCGAGCTGTCCGGAGTGTGGAAACTGTTTATGACTATTAGATTAGGGTATCTACAATCCTAAAATGCTATGGGACGGGAGGAAAACAGGTCCGCGATGTACGAAGTAGTGAACGAAGTAGTCAAGGCGAGCTGTCCGGAGTGTGGGATCTGTTTATGACCAATAGATTAAGGTATTTGCATTCCAATAATGCTAAGGGAAGGGAGGTAAACAGGTCCGTGACGTAGGAAGTGATGAAGGAAGTATGCAGTAAAGGCGAGTTTTTCGGAGTGTGGGAACTGTTTATGACGATTAGATTAAGGTATCTTGGTATCTACATTTTTAAAATTCTATGGGAAGAGAGGGAAACAGTTCTGCGACGTAAGAAGAGGTGAAGGAAGTAGTAAGGTGAGCAGTGTGGAGTTTGGAAACTGGAAACCGTTTGTAGCAGTTAGATTAATGTATCTGCAATGGTGAAATGCTATGAGAAGGGATGGAAGAATGTCCACGACATATACAATGGTGAAAGAAGTAGTAAAGGCTAGCAGTGCGGAGTGTGGGCAATGTTTGTGGCAATTAGATTAGCGTATCTAAAATACTAAAATGCTATGGAAAGTTATGAAAACAGGTCCACGATGTAGGAAGTGGCTTAGGAAGTAGTAATGTATGAACATATTGTGAGAAACGTCTGTGGCAGTTAGATTAATGTATCTTCAATCCCAAAATGCTATGAGAAGGGAAGGAAACAGGCCCCACGACGTAGGAAGTTGTGAAGGAAGTAGTAAAGGCTGGCAGTGCAGAGTGAGGGAACCTTTTGGGCAGTTAGATAAATGTATCTAATACTTAAATGCTATGAGAAGGGAAGGAAACAGGTCTATGACGTAGGAAATGGTAAAGGAAGTAGTAAAGCTTGCAGTGCAGAGTGTGGGAACTGTCTTTGGCAATTAAATTAGTGTATCTGCAATCCTAAAATGCTATGGGAGGGAAACAGGTCCACGGCGTAGGGTGTGGTGAAGGAAGTAGTAAAGGTGGGCAGTGTTAAATGTGGGAATGGATTAATGTATCTGCAATGCTAAAATGCTATGGGAAGAGACTGTAGACTGTAGGTTAAAATGATTATGAAGCACGAATCGTTACATATTTTGATACTTATTCAATCGTTTACAATAGAAATTTACAACTAAGTTGACAACAGCTGAGTTTTACTCCATAGAGGCTAAAAACGAATTTTATTCCCTAAAGAGTAAAAATGCTACTTTAGACCCGCAACGCATGCACCAATGACGACTGTTTTTACTGCATTATGACAAAAACAATATAATACGACCCCTTGATGACTCCGCTCAATTTTGTGGATGCATCTGCGAACGCCACCTAGTTATAAACTCTGCAACATTAGAGAAGTGTCGGAAAATTACCTATTGCAGGTGATCAAATTAATCGCTTTAGTTTAAGCTTTGACTATTTTGATAGTCGAAGGTTTAGGGCAACGGTAAATTTTGGGTTAGTTTTTATTTAATAAATTATATGCATGTACTATACTATTGTACAATGTTATATTCTGTTTGAAATTCAAACTAATACATGAATTTTTAATAAAATGGTCAATCTTTGTAAGAAATAACAGAATAGTATCATTACAATTGTACGCGTCAGCGGGAAACTTGCTAAATAAGCA